TGTAACCTAATGATGGGCCTTTCTGGCAGTTCAAATCCACCAGCACCTTCTCAGGAGAAAAGATAAGAAATCCTCCTGTGTGATTTACAGCCTCTGAAAACCTGCTGGTGGGTCCGCTAAAGTCAGTTCCAACTTGATGGCAATAGGTTGAATGTATACATGTATGTTATGTATGCTTGTTGTTGTTGCTATGAAGTGCTACTGAGTTGAGCAAGACTCACAGCAACCCTATGAACAAAAGACCTGAACCTTGTTCTATAACTATCATCATTTCTCAACGTTCATAGAGTTTCCAGAGTTCAGGAAGTAGATGCCACTCCTGCTTCCAAGCCTTTCTTAATCTGGAAGCACCACCAAAACCTGTCCACCATGGGTAACCATTACGGTATTTGACACACCTTTGGCACAGCGTTCAGCATCACAGCAACCCCAAGTTACCTCAGTACAGCAAATTGACAGATCAGTGCTGTGCCACTTAGAAGAATGTTCATTCCAAACACAATTAACCAACTTTTAAATACAGCGCCCACCAGGTTCTAACTGGTTCTACACCAGAGGCTTCCAGCCCACAGCTACTGTTAGCCAAATGGAGCAAATTCAATCAGCTCATAGTTATGAATGAAATAAAAACAACCAAATAGGCAAATATAAGATAGATAGATAGATAGATAGATAGATAGATAGATAGATATAGAGACAGACATAGACATAGATAGATACAGAGTCTAGAGTGATATATATCCTGCTACTTGTCCTCAAGTCGGTTCTTACTCCTGGTAACACCACCTGTGCAGAGCAGAACCGCTCCTTAGTTTTCCCAGGCAGTGAGCCTTCAGAAGGTGGTCACCTGGCACACCTCTGAGGCAGCCCGGGGTGGGTTGTATCCACAAACCTTTGGGCCAGAGTCCAGCATTTAACTGCACCACTCAGGGACTCTGACATATACATACACAGGCAAGAGTCTAGAAAGGTTTACGTCAAAAGATGAACATGAATTACACCTGAGTTATATGAATACATATAATCTTAAATTTCTAGTATATTAACTACTTTCTCTCATTTCAAATAAAGGTAAATTTTTATTTTCATTATTCTACTAAACTCTTTCTATCCAACATAGTCCACCTAACTTTTACTAAGGAATATCATTTCCTAGTGACATTTTTCTGAAACTGTCCACATTTCCACAGTCCTCTGGCAAACCCAGACCAAAGAAAGCTAAGTGCAAACATAATATACACCAACTTTTAGGTACTACACGTCCAACACGATGCGATATTTACCTTCATCATACATTTCTTCTATTAAATAGGCCTCCGCTCGGTCTTTCAGCGCATTCACATTGTCAGGTTCCATCTGTAAGACTTCAGAACATATTCTAATAGCTTCCACCGGCTTCTCATCCTAAGAGCACACAGCAGGAAAGCAGGTAAGGCCGTTACTCCCTAAGTTTTCACAGCATGTTTTACAACTGTGAACAAGTCAGCCATTGTTACCTTAGAGAAGCAGTGGCAGATCCTTTCTTTTGAACGAATCGTATATTCAGAAACACTTGGTTCTGTTTTCATTACAGATTCATATTTGCTAATTGCCTCTGCATATCTACAAAAGAGCAAATGATCATAGGTAACAAGGCAATTTTATCTCCAGAACTGTTGGAAAGACCATCTACCCTTCACAAAGTATTACATCACTGAATGAACATACGCCTTCCAAAAGAATCTGACCTTACTAATCGAGTGTAGCAGAGAAGGAACTCTCTGCAATGAAGCATTGGCAGTTAAGACATATGAGTGCAGAGAACATATAAAACAAATCAAAGCATACTTGTACAGATGGAACAAACCAAATTATTTTCTTTACAGAAAATCCTTCATGAATTTGACACTGAGAAAACACCTTGTTAAAATCTGACTTCTTCTGAGCATTCTTAACAAAAGATAGGCTATATTATGTATTACTTCTCAGTTGCTTCTCACGCTCACATAATTAACTAGTGTAAGATACGCCACTTCACGTGATGACTGCCTATACTCTTAACTAAGTACAACGTAGATGCCATGCAGAGGAGAATCCGCATATACACCCAAGTTTACAACTGCCCAAGAACAAAACTAGTTCAGCAACATTTTTTAAAATTACTACGCTGGTGAAAAGTACTGTGATATATACTATGCTGGTGAAAAGTCATGTTATATATTCAATTATTCTTCTCAATAAAGGTTTCTCTAAATGCCATTTAAAAACACCCCCAAAAACCCCAACTCGTTGTCTGAAAGGCAATTCCAGTTCACAGTGACCTACAGGGAGGAATAAAACCACCCAGTGGGGTCCCCAAGGCTCTCATCTTTACCGAAGCAGACTGCCACGTCCTCTGCACAGCCCACCACAGTGTCTTATACCAACATACTGCAGTTTTCATATCTAAAACGTGAGTGCATTAAAGCACAGGCTTAAGTATAACATTTAAACAGAAAGTTAGTTCTGCTTCTAGTAAGCTGAACAATATGGAGAGTTCCAGCTCCTCCAGCTAAATACAAATTAAATATCTAGACTTAGGTTACAAAAATAGTTTTTAGACTCTTAAAGGTGGAAAAACCACAGACTGACTGAGGGCCTCAAGACTAGGGAACAACATTGTTCTGAGTCCTCTGTGCTTTCTTTTCACTGGGAGCTGAAGAACAAGCAACCCAGAGATACTGGTAAGGGTCATCAACAATAAAAGCACCTAAAACAAAAACAAATGTCTGCTCTCCCTAGCAAGAGGCAGCCTGGCACTGCAGAATACTCTCTGACAACAAGGCCCACTCGTCCCTCTCACCCACACCAGCAGAGCCAAGTAGGGCGAGACCCCCGCACCCTCACAGGCTACCACAGGCACTCAACATCCCATCAGGTAAGTGTCAGGGAGGGGCAAGGCCTGGAGTTATTCTAAAAAAGTCAAACCAGCAAGGAAGGAGCTTCGCTCTCCTGCCCGACATCAGTGGAGATGAGGAGTCTGAACTCACTCTCAGGGCTACCAGGCAGCGGAGAGCAGCTCCCCACCCGAGTGTCAGTGAAAGCTAGGGGGAAACTTCTACTCTGAATGTGAGCTGCAAGGTGGTACCCAAGCCTCCTCCCGTTGGAACAGTGTGAGGGGATAAAAGGTAAAATGATTTTAGATAAGATCCAGAGTGCTGTAATAGAAAGCTAAAACATCCAGCTTTCAAATGAAAACTTACTGGATCAAAAACGAAGATTTCAAAACTGAATACAAAAAGACAACCAATATATCCAGCACTCAGATGGCAGATATGCTGGGTTACAGACACAGATTTTAAAGCAGTGAGTAAGTAGATGAGATTGAAAGGAATAGAATGGCGGGAAACATCCCAAATTTGCTCAGAAACAGAAACCTACTGATTGAAAAAGTTGAGCCAACTCCAGAAATGGAAATGAAAGAAATACTTGCCAAAATGTATCACAATTAAACTTCTGAGAACTAGTAAAGAAAAAAGAATGGTGGTGCTGTCACACTGTGACTGGATCCCCCAGCAGAAACCACAGAGGCCGGAGCAGGAGCACCCAGCGTGAGGGCCAACCGAAAACGCTACATTCACTCCACGTCTCCTTCAGAAGTCAAAGTCCAGGGCTAGCCTGGGAGGGAAGGAGTGGATGGGAATTCTTCAAAACACATTCTGATTTTGTGAAATGAGCAAATAAAATCGTAACACTTGCTTCTTGGATCACCTTTGATAAGTCCTGGTTGCCTCTATTTGACACACCCAGGCTTTAAGAAATGCAGACACTAGAATCCTGACATCCTGCACGAAAACTGCAGTCCAGGAAGCTGCCAGAATAGTGAGGGTACAAGATCGAACGGCTGCCTTCTCTGAGGCAGTGCTGTGTGCCGTGTAGGACCTCTCTGCTCCTCAGTGTTCCTGTCCCACCCTACAAACAGCCAACGGTCAACATCCACACAAAAGCAACCTGTTACCTACAGCAACTCCTCCTTATCCTTTAAGGTCGGGATGAAAGGATCTAGCACTTTCTCCAAACAGCCTCTCTCCCTTCACCATTCTGGAATGGATTACACAATCCTCACTGGGGCTGCCAGGATAATCAGGGTGCATCTCCCTCGCCTCGGCATGTTACCTGTAATAATATTACCTGTAATAATCGTGGGGTTTTGTCTCAAGATTCCATGGCAGTTGAGAGTCTCATTCTACAATTTCTACCCAAGTTGGTCAGTGATGTCAGTTAACAGTCGTCCCCAAACACCCCATTCTCATTATTCCTGTTCTGCGGGCTTTACATGAGTCTCACTTCCCTGCCCCCTTACATTTTCATCTATGGTTTAAACTAATTGAGGACCGTTTGGTCTAAATTGTGTGTCTCATAAACCAACAACTATTATCTCATTCCTTTGTGCTCTTGCAGGATGAGGTCACTACCTGACACAAGAAATACTTCAGAAAGATTCCTTGAAATGTAAGTAAATCTGATGGTAAAGAGACTGTACATTTAATCTTCTTTATATTTTTGCTATTCTAAAAACTGTACAATAATGATAAGACCCAGGTCTATCCAGAATGCTCTGCCAACAGCTGCTGTCCTGTGGGCACGAGACATCCCTAGGGACCCCGGGTGCTGTGGTGCAGCGTGTTCTTACCTGCCATCGCGGATGAGCTCTTCAGCGGACTCGATCAGCTTATGAAGTTTCTTTACTTGTTTATAGTGTGCAAAGCACTTTTTATGATCCTGGTCGAGTTT